TCATAGTGCAACGGAAATTTGAGTTTGGTAAGACTGATTTACGTAATTATACGTAACGTTCTGCGCCAGCCGCGACAGTACGTTTATTGCTCTTCCCACCGCTAAATAATATTAGTATTTAGAATAAAATGTTGATATTCATTTATGGACTATAATATAATCTTAGATTAAAAAATACCCATGGGAAATTATTACACGTCCATTACAAACGTCACGTAAAGCACCAAAATCATCCAATAAGTATCCCAAACTATACCATTCTTATAGTAAACACCGCCATTCCATGATTTAAAGTACGGGACTGTTTCGCACAATTCTTGACGTGTCTGTAAATTGAAATCAGTTAAATAAAAAGATTACATTAAAAATTACGATTTATAGTACAATACCATTGCCCAAACTTTTGGTCTATTGATATTTGCGTTAGAATTGTTGCGAATATCATTACCAATGGTCAATTTATGTTTGGAGAAAAAAACTTTTTCTTCGATAAAATTTGTCATATCGTTATTATATAACAAATAAATTGATAAATTATTTTTATAAATTTTATATAAATTGATTCGTATTTTTTTTTATTTAGAAAAGCCTAATTATTATATCTTTTTTGCATAATCAATTTAGAAAACGATGAAATTTGATCTGCCGATGTAATAAATTGTAGGCTCTGTTTTCTCATTCTACTAATAATTTTCAAACATCTAATAATACATATTTCACCAATCAATTATAATCGATAAACAAAGGTTCAGGGTTTATTGACTTGAATTTTTAGTTTACAATTGTACATTTCACAATTTAAAAATACCTAATATTTTAATAAGCGAACAAATTGTTTGGGATTGAAATTCGAAACTAATTTTGATGAAAATATAAAATTTTCACTTTGAAGTTTACAAAAGATGGTAATAATAAGATTTTTGGAGAGTAAGTGAAAATTTTTTGCTGAACAATCTGAAGATATTTGTTATTATTAATCGATCTTAATCAATATTATCACCCTAAACAAACGTCAAGTCCTTGCCACAGAGAATATTGTTAAAAATAATGGCATTGTTTGATATATTGAATAATCTTTGATCCATATGAAATCCTATTATTAAATTCGATTGAATCTGCTAAGATATCGTATTGTACCGTTCAGCTGACATAAATAAGGCGATTATTACGTGCTGAATTTAATAATATTAATGTTATTAGAAATACATGTGAATTCACTTAAATTCACTTATGTAATCTTAACAGTTAAATTTTAACCTGCTGAGAAAAATGATCGGGAATCATTGAAATTTAAGCAGGAAAACGAATAAAAAAAGTATAAGTTAAATCAATAAACTGAAAGAAACCTTTTAATTTTAATTCGAACAATACATTTAATCTGCTGAGGTATTGTTAAGCTAAGAACTAAATAAAGAATTCTTATTATCGAAATTAAGGGAATTATGCTATGTACAAATATTATCATTATTATTATACTTTATATATTGCATGTTTATTAATTTAATAAAAAAGCAACAGAAAGGAGAAATACTGTTAAAAAAAATATTATTATTTATTAATATATTTGCATGATAATATTTCTATTTAGAGATGAATCAGAATCAGATTATATTTAAAAATTTTTATTATTGTAATATGATATGATATATTCAAATTATTTTTAACAATATCGTGCGCGTGATCATTCATTCATTCAGGATTACAGTAACGTATTCAGGATTACATGACTTCAGTACTTATTCAAGGATTACAACAATATTACAAGTATTCAAAATACCTTTGTTACTTTACACGCGATTTATGTATAATATTATATGATATATATGTAAAATCATGTAAAATCACCTGGAAATTTAAAAATGTCAAAAAAACAATACTTAATTAAACGCATACACCACTATATCCCCTCACTATATTCACCATTACTCCTCACATTTTTATTCGTTTCTTTATTGTTGTTATATTTTTTGATTTTTTGATTCGTGTTATCTTATTTATTTTTTTTTCTTGAAGAAAATACAAGTAATAAAAAATTATACTACTTTTGATTCTTTTTTTACGAGGAAAACGTCAAAATATTATCAAAATATTAAATTATATGCATATAATATATTTTCTGATATACTTATTATTATTAAATTTGAAAAAAATTAAAAAATTGCTTCGATTGTTACTATTACATATACATTTGTAATAATAATAATAATTAAGAAAAAAATAAAAATTATGTCTCCAAGGGCAAAACGAACACCAAAACAACCCAGTGTAGATATTTCAATTTCGGAATCCGTGAGAGAAGCTAATAAAATCTCGGTCGGTAATCAAGAATATTTGATTGGTCTAGAAACTTTAGAAGTTCAAACTATGGTTAAAGCTATTATTAAAGAATTTGCTGATATTAAAACTACTTTAACTCTTCGTGAATTATGGACACCTTCTGCTCAAACAAGAGCGAAAGGCATACCACGACCTCAAAATGCATTCATGTTACATCGAAAAGATGTATCCAAGGAATTTTGTCGAGCTCGACAACCTTTATCCGTTTGTGATTCATCTATCATTGCTTCAAGTAGATGGAATTCTTATGGGGGAAGGGAAAAAAAGTTTTGGACGGATTTGGCCTTAGTGGCCAAAACTTTACATTCATATATGTATCAATGATCGGCGATTTTATATATAATTATAATTATTATGATGAGATCGTTGCTACATAATAAAACTTTTATATTATAAGTGAATATCAAGAACGGTACTAAGTAACCTCAAAGATAAGAATGTTTTACGTATTAAATTCAAAGGACAGACCTATATCATCTAAATGAGAGAACTATTGTTGGTTAAAGTTCGAACGGGCAAAAATTTTAAAATGATAATTGATCGCTCAATTTTTATGATATAGGACCATTCTTTTCACGGGAGAAGCAATTTATTCTTATCTTTGAGGCCACTTAATATTATTTTTGGTATTTACTTATTAAGAAAAAAATTTATATGTTGCAACGATGACGAATTATTTCCGATTTGTAATTTTATAAAGTTACACAATAAATGAGGATTGTCAAAAGAACAAATTGATCATAACGCATTAAGCTTAAAAGTTATGAGATGCACTTCGCAGCAGCGACGTGGTACTATGGCTGATTATATGAAAGGAATTCACAAAAATTAACAATAAAAATCAAAAATCATAACTCCTATCTTACCAAAAAGTATTTCACAAAGAAGTTGAATTCACTTTTTATGTTAAACATGAAACGTGATGGTGCATTAGTGCATAGGTAAATTTCCTTAATAAATTTGTGTAATAATAATTATGTAAATCTCCAATTTTTCATTCCGAAAAATGTCTTCATCATATAGCAAAAAATATTCGTTTAAAAGTGCCTTAAAAAGTCGATTAATTAAAGAATTTGATTTTAATACATTTGAAAACATTGCAGAAATCATAAGGGGAGGATTTGGTACAGTTTATCGTGCTAATTTAACAAATTAGAAAGGCATGTTGCATCATAATGTTTGCATGGAAATGACGATGAAAAATTTATGAAAGAGTAAAAAATAAATACTTTGTTTTCATTATTTTATTTTTTGAGGTGAAATTAAAATTTAAGCACAATTTTTTGGAATCACAGTTAGCCAATATCCTGGCTGTAAATTACCATGACAATTTTATTCACTTTTATGGAGTCAGTATAGGTATTATTTATACATATATTATTTATTAAATCTCATAGTCAATGAAAATAAATAATTATTATCAAATAAAATTATTGTTATTTAATAAAAATCTTATTTAGATCCTTCAACGGAGACGTACTATTTAGTATTGCAATATGCTAAAGATGGTGATTTGAGGACTTATTTACGAAATAATTTCAAAAGTATTGATTGGAAAATTAAATTTAAATTGGCTAAAGATATTACAAGTGGTCTACGTTGTATTCACAAAGAAAATATTGCTCATAAAGATTTAGTAAGTACTGTATATAAAATATGTAAAATAATTATATGAATAATAAATATTAATTACTTAAATATACAGTATATCTAAATTCGTTATCTTTGATAGCATTTAAAGAACATTTTAGTTCATGAAGGAAGGTTATTTATAACAGATTTAAGACTATCTCAATCATCAGATACCAATTCAAAATCTATGGCTGGTGGAGTTATTGCATACACTGATCTCAAATATTTACGAAATCAAGTGGAATTTAAAAGAAATCAAGCTTCGGACATTTATAGTTTGGGGATCCTTTTTTGGGAGTTATCAAGTGGAATACCTCCATTTGATAATTTACCAAGTTTCGAAATGTATAGAAAGGTTACTTCTAATGAAAGAGAAAAACCTATTAATGGAACTCCAAAAGATTACATCAAAATATATTCAAATGCATGGAAAAATGATCCAAAACAATGGCCAACTATTAACTACATTTTTGATTCTCTCGAAAATATCAAATTAGAAAATATAAGTAACGAAACTAATGACAATCAAGATTTTCAATTTGAAGCCCATTTTGATAATCAATCTCAAACCTCAAGTAAAGATTTCGTATCTATTCCTCCTTCATCAAATTGGGGGGAAGTTACAGGTACTTCTTTATAATCATTTTTGATAATTATGTTATAAGTAAAACGCCGTATAATATTGATTAACACTTTTCACCATTGCATTTCAAAAACCTCAAAGAGTCACCTACTTCTCTACCAACCTCCCTATTCACTTCCTTATCTGCTACTCTCAATTCTAATGACCATGATAATGTGACAAAAGAAAATCAAATTATAATATATAATTATAATGATTTTAAAAATCTTGAAGATATTGGAAAAGGGATTTTAAGTGCAACATTAATGAATGGAAAGAAAACAGTGGCTCTAAAATCGATAGTTTTTGCTAATGCGGATTTATTTGTTAGCGAGGTAAATACTATTTAATAACTATTCTATACTAAAAACCGTCAATTTGCTGAATATTTATATTTTAATGAATTTTTAGCTTAAACAATATTCGCGTGCCAGTTCACATGAAAATATAATTGGATTCTATGGAATTTCACAAAAAGGTTAATATTAAATTGAATTTTTTAATATATTCATATCTAATTAATAATTACTTATGAAATATTTTATATTGTGTGTTATATATGTAGATTTGAAAAGGAATGAGTATATACTTGTACTAGAATATTCAAATGGTGGAACTTTGCGTAACCATCTAAAATTTAATTTTGAAAAATTCGAATGGATGGATAAGTTAAATCTTGCTCAGCAAGTTGTTAAAGCAATTGAACATTTGGATTCAAATGATATCATTCATAGAGATCTGGTAATTGTGTAATTAATTTTCGAAAATACTATAGCAAACAATTGATCCTTTAATTAATAGAATTTGTTTTACAGAATTTGAAAAATATTCTTCTCCATGATAATATTATTAAGATTAGTAATTTTGGTATTACCAGGCTTAATATTAAATCTTCAATTGATTCAAAAAATGTTCTGGGGTCAATAGAATATTTAGACCCAATGCATCTTAAAAGGCTGGGCAAATATAATAAAACTAAAGCTTCCGCTTCCGATATATATAGTATTGGAATTTTGCTTTGGGAAATATCGAGTGGAAAAATTCCATATGAATCTAAATTTCAGGATGAATTAGACTTGATAGATTATATTTCACAAGGGAACAGAGAAGATCCAATCATTGGAACACCACAAGATTATATTAATATCTATCAAGGTTTGATTTCATTTTATTAAAAATATCTCAAAATTATTAACTATATTATTTACAAATATAAAATCGATTACTTATTTAATAGATTGCTGGAATCAAGACCCAAATCATCGCCCAAATATTGGGAAAGTTGTACAAGATCTCTAAAATATACCAAAAGAGCAATTAAAACTAAGAGTTAGTTTTTATGGCTCGTTTTCACTGTGTATTTTTATTTTTGTATTTCTTGCTCTAGGTATTTTATTTTCTTTAAAAGTATATAAACCACTCCCGATTATATCCAATGAAGAATATACTGCAGAACCATTCTCGACTATAATAAACGAAGAACACGCTGCAGAACTTTCATCATGGGTTGATCAAAAATCAACTATTTATTCTTCGGCAAATTTTCCTCATAAATTTCAATTAATTCTTCGAGGAAGCAGAGATGGTTTTCATCCTAAGACATTTTGGAACATGTGTCATGGGCTCCCTGGTACAATTGTGGTTGCAAAAGTTGCGGGAACTGATGAAATAGTCGGTGGTTATAATCCTTTAGCTTGGGATAGTTCACAAAGAGTTTTTAATATGGAAACAGATGATAGTTTCATTTTTCATTAAAATATGGGAATATTCAAAATTTAATTCTCAGCCGAGTTATAGTTAGTATAAGAGCTCTACGCTATCCTAATGATCAGAATGTTTATGGTCCATTTTTTGGTTTAAGTGAATTTGTAATGAAATCACATGTTTACAATTTTACTCAAGATAAATCATGTCTGTGTTATTATAATCCTGATAGCAACATTCCTTTTTATGAAAAGCCTATTAGAACAACTAATGAATATTTTTCTGTTGTAGACTATGAAGTATTTAAGATTACCAAAAGATATTAATATATTTTTTGAAATTATTTAATGTTAATGATTTCTTCGTAGCTACATCCGAAATTATTTTTCCTATCTTTTTCTTCCAATATCTTTTAATGATTTCTTCGTAGTTACATCTTTCATTATATTTTCTTAATTTCTATTTCTAATATCCTTTTCTTAAGGATCTTGACTTTGACGCATTAAATGCCAAATGTAATTATCATCTTTTAAATTCTTATGCTCGCCTATTATATTATGATGATGATGATATTAAGATTATTATAATTATTAAATAAAAGAAGTTTGAAAATTTTAAAAATCAATTTATTAATTTTAAGTATTTTATAATAAATTCATTTTGATGAAAATATCATAATATTTTTGTAAGACATTTTAATAAAGCAACAAACAGAAAAAATCCTCAAAAAATCACATGCGTATATAAAACGCAAATGACGACTAATTTTATATCATATTGACAATTGCAAAATTTTAGATTTACAAATTATCGTCTCTCGTAAACATATTGAATCATAACAAAAGTTTGCATAATAATGGTTTTAAAATTAATCGTAAAATAAATAGGAATGAAATCGACCCTGCTACCACAGCAATTACCTCATTTTCGAAGATAAAATAATTTAAATTATTAAATTATCAGGCTAAACAACAATAATATAATTACCACCGTCATCACATCAATGACAACAACAATGAAAACAACAATAACAGCAATTATAATATACTCACAGCAATCACAAATATAAAGCCAACTTCTCGGCTTTACATACAATTCCAGTATCATCGCCTTCTTTGGTACAATTTCCTTTAATCAAAACAAATATTTCATAATTATCTTCATCTATGAAAATAGGATCTTTCATTTCAATCACAACAATAACGAATGTTCCTTCATTTTAAAAAATCCAATTTCACTTTATAGCGTCATAACAAAAAGATGTTCTTTGCAAAAAGTATCAAGTACAAATTCTATTTAATCAATAACTTTGAAATTTTCCATGATTTAAAAGCTAAAGATAAATAATAATAATTGAAAGTACTGTAATAACTGATAATAAATAATAAATTAATAATCAATGGTAATTATAAGCGGTAAGCAGGGACAATACAAATTAATAAAATACATTAAATTAAATTAATAAATAATAATAATTGAATTTTTTAATATTTATTTGTCCCTGCAAATAATAGCGAATTCTTGTATCGTATAGCAGTAAAACTTTGTTTTTTTCATTAAAGAAGATTGGTCGAAATTATAAACTAGTTAGAATATTCAAAAATTAGGTATATTCAATTTTAGAAGTAACTAAAAATAGAATATAATTGATAACAAGTGTGGTGTGGTGTTTTACAAATCAGTATTTAATAATAATACTACCCTATTTGAACAAGTACAAGACAGTACAGAAGTTTTAGGAAGTTTAAAATAGAAAATGTCTTTTAAATTTTACGGCATATTTATTTCAGAATTTCTTAAGGATAGAAAGATTATAATGTTGTCATCAAAGTTGAAAAGAAGGAAATAAGCTTTAACTGCACACCAAATTGTCTTGAGTTATCATTCATCTCTTATAAAGAATTAGAGAACGCTACTACGAAAATCAAATCAAAACTATTATTAAACCAAATAGTTCTGGAATATTTGCAATTATTCATACATAAATACTTCATAAATTGATAAAATAAAATAAATTTTATAGATATTTCTATGGTGGAATTGTTAATAATACGGGTACTGAAACCATATTAATTGATGATCAATGCAAATGAATTAGAGCTTGAAGAACTATCAAGAAAATTAGAAAGCAACCTTATTGAATATATAACTCCTTGGTTAAGAACTCACTTCTCCCTTTTTTTTACAATTTATTAGAATTAATAAAAATAATAGATAGATAATACGATAAGCATAACTTGGGTAAGCAGTGACATTACGTAAATATATGAATATGAATTAATAAATTAATTGATTTTTTTTTAAGCGAATAATAAATCCCAATTATTAGAATCTGACTATTCTAAGAGCCATATAAGATTATTCTTTTTTTTTTTTTGGCAAGATTTTAAAAAACTTATTATTTACGAATACAGTTCAACTCATTAAATGAATTTAATGCATTCAAATTAACACAATTCAATACAACGAATAAGGATATGACTAACAAAGTAATAACAAAAAGATCCGTTACTTTTGGATGTTTCGCTTCAAGTATTTTACTATAAATTTCATTGGGTAGTTTGGAGATAATATCATCATCATGATTATTATATTGGTTATGGATTTATAATAAGGCATTTTAATAAGTGCAACAACAAAAAAAAAGGTGTACATGTACAAAACATAAACAAAAAATTCTTTACATGCGACATTTATAAGGAACAATATTGTCATCTGGTATATTTTCTAAATTGATTTAACATTTTAGATCTACAAAAAAATATATTTCAAATTTCATTGAATAATATTAAAAATTGTATAATACTGGTCTTTAAAAATTAACCAGTAAGAATTTGGTGTTAATGACAAAGTCAACTTTTTACCATTACATCCAATGACCCATTTAATTTGGATAAAAATAAGTTTAAATAATCAAATTCAACAACTAAAGCAACAATAAGCATTTTAATTAGCAACAATGATGACAACAGCAACAAAATTTTTTATTTCGTAAGTTACAAGAATAATAAAAATAATAAAAAGGAAAATTAAAACAAAACTTCATTGACTTTGTATATGATTCCAGTATCATCAAAATCATCATCATCAACAGATACCGCCTTTATCATCATCTCAAATGTTGTCACAAACATCAAACTTTTTTACTGAATCCTTTATCATAACCAATTGCAACTTTAGCACAATCCATAATCAAAAAAGAACAAGAATCATGAAATATTAAAGTGGAACTCTTCCCATTGATCACTTGTACCAAATATCCCCACGGTAGAGAAATACAATTTTTCACTGTAGTTACATATAAAACTTGGTTATTTTTCTATCTTTTTACTCGTATGGGTAAGAAAAAATATAAATACAATACCAGAAGTGTTTCCGGTAACAAGATGATAACAACAACCAAGAAAATGTGGAAAATATGAATTTTATTCCTATGGCTAGCAATGCACAAAATGAAAATAATACAACTATGAATATAGAAGAAGAAATAAAGGTACCTTTGGTACCAGAACATGCAAGTAAAAAAAGAGCTGTTAGAGAGTCATTTGAAGAAGAAACAGAAATAAATATTAGTAATGTTGTTAAACCAGGGTCAAGTGTTTCATTTGTGGCAGAACTAAAATATAAAGAAATTTCAGATGGTGAAGAGGATGATGACTTATATATTGAGGAAGAATTTGAAACAGTAAAAAGTAAAAAGAACAAAAATGATAGAGTTACAAAAGTATTTGTGGAGAAACCTAAAAATATCTCTCCCAAAATCTGGTATAAAGAAACTG